AACCAAGTTCAAAAATTAACTATTTTAAACCAGAAATTAGTCTTTAAGTATAAAAATTGGCTGCTAAATAAGGACATTATTGACTTTTATCCACCAAAAAAGGTCGGCCAAAGCACGACGGGCTAAAACGAAAGAGATTGACAGCATTTGAGGCACTTTTCCTTGAAAAGGCCTCCGAGGCCAAAATCTTTCTGTTTTGTCCCCGTCGGCTTTCTGCCTACATACACCCGTGAAATTATTTTTTAACTAATGAATAAATATTTATCTAACACCAAACAATCAGGTGAAGCCTTGGAATTGTTAACCAGTTTACCCGACAATACAGCCTCTTTAATCTTCCTCGACCCTCAATATGAGAAAGTAGGCACAGTGTTGAAATTGGATTATCCTTTGTCTTATACGACCGACTATCAAATATTAAGAATATTAGAACAAATTAGCCGAGTATTGAAGCCTAGTGCTTTTTGTCTCTTATGAGTAAATAAAACTCTACTTGGCAATGATAGAGTGCCATTATGATTACTAAAAACTCCTAATTTAAAAATTGTTGATTGTTTAGTCTGGTATAAGAAAAACACATTAGGATTAGGAAGTTGATTAAGAAGTCAGGCCGAGTTTGGTTTTTTGGTGCAGAAATTTCCTTATGATAGCAAAGTGTTTAAAGATAGAAGTTTTGGTAATGTTTGAGAAGAAAGTCAATTAGCCAGTAATAAAAGAGACCATCCTCACCAAAAACCGAGAGAATTAATAAAGGCTCTTATTACTGCTACCACTAATAAGGGAGATTTAATTGCGGATCCTTGTGCTGGTTCATTCATCGTGTTGGATGCTTGCCAAGAACTCAAAAGAGAGTTTATTGGTTGTGATTTGACTTTTAAGGAGATGAAAGAATTTCAGCAAGAAAGAACGACCAAAAGGGAGTTCTTGTCTGATAAGGCCAGAGAGAGAGAGAGAGAGAGAGAGAGACGAGCCAACAATTTAACCAAATATGACTAAAAATTACATAAATTGACCCCAACTTTACCAGCAACCAGCCCTTTTCCATATTTACCTCACCGAACGAGGCCGAGGCAAATCCGATACAAAAGGTTGAGAATTCTTAACTATCATTACTACCACCCGAGAAACTAATTTAGCCTGAATTAGAAGGAGATGGCACGACAGCCTATTAGCCACTAAACCTTTTTTTCAATCTCTTATTTATTCTTTTTGTGAAGAAAAGAATTTGGACTCCAATCAGTTTGAAATCAGAGTTAACCAGAATGAATTTGACACCAAAGAACAAGGAGTATTTTACCAAGGACTTTTAAGAATACACTTTTACGACTTATTTTCTTATCAGAGAGTTAGAGGAGCCATTGCCCGAACCTCCTTTGCTGAAATAGTTTTTGAAGAGGCAATTCCGATCGACCAAGAATTTTTACCCCGAGAGCAACATGACTTCCGAGACCTAGTAAAAAGTTTAAAAGGTCGTAAGGGAAAAGACGGCCAAAAAATACCTACTAAAATAACTTTTTTAGCCAATGCCTATTCTTGGAGTGCTTGATTATTGGATGTTTTTACTAATTTGTTTAAACTGAAAAAAGAGGCTGAAAATAAGAAAGAAAAAAACGATAATTCC